TTTTTTAAGTGATACATATTAATATAAATTAAACAATGTTTTCTTCGTCATCACTAAAAACACTATTAATTAACCGAGAGCGTTTTTCTTTTTGGCAAGTTATCCTTATCCTCTGAGCATTTTTCTGCATTATCTTCAGATCCATACTTTACCTTTTGCAAAATGTATGTAATTTTAGATTGCTTGCTTCTAGTTAAAAGATCTTTATAAATTTCCTTATATGGTGCTAAGCATTTATGAAGAATAAAGCAAGTATGGAATAGGGGAAAAACATTCGGCAACATCAGAAGCAGAAGCGTCGCGATCTGGCAACATTGAAACAAGTTTCGAGAAGGACCATGTGTATCGACAGAAAGCGAGAAGAGAAAATTTACATACTTAAGTACTAATAGTTCACGAAAATATTAATTTTTGTGAACTATTATTACTTAAGTATGTAAAAATTTATTACATTTCCTGTTGTACGAGGGTTTTACCCAATTCTCGAACTGTGTCAGAGTGAATCCGTGCTATAAAAGTACCGTGTTATACGGGGGATGGTACCAATTCTCGAACCGTGTTAGATTGAATCCATGCTATAGAAGTGCCGTGTTATACGGGGGTTACCTGTACATTAATATTTATTTGTATAAAAAAATTAAGTTTTATAGTTAGTATTTTTAATATTTAAGTATTTGGGTAAATGCCCGGGGCTCCTTTCAGAGTTCAGAATAGGGTACTCCCTATGAGTGCCTCTGCCCCCCATAAAATGAGTTGGTATTCAATTTTGCCAAAGTCAGAGTCTCCTACTAAAATTATCAAGAGTTGGAGTCAAAGGGTTTTTTCCAGCTCCATGCCCCTGGGCAGTAATTATACAATGAAAACTGAGACATATTAATTGTACTTAATTCGAAGATTTTTTTATTTTAACATATGGTTTATTTTGTTAATACCTGTTAAAATAAGATATAAAGTAAACATTAAGAACATATGCAACCCATCCAAAAATTTATTTTTAAATATTAAATGAACAGCTAGATTTTTTATCAGGCTGTCTGTTTGCGTTTTAAATTATTGCATTGGTTGCTTACATTGTTCATGTACATGCTGGGGTTAAACATAAATTGGCTGAGAGCCATGGGTATTAAGTTGTCTGTCAGTGCTGTGAGTGAACAATATGGTTATCTAAGTTAATTGGTTTGGAGGCAGTTTGGACAGTTCTTGATAGCATAACTAATGGCACATTTACCTAGTTAGCACGAGTTGTGGGTTATTGTCACATTGGGCTGATCTTTTCTTCCAAAATATTATAAATTAATTTCTCATTAAGTTAAGCCACCATCTTGTGTTAAATTGCCTAACTCTAGCCAAATTACTTAAGGCTATTTAATTTAATAAAGAATACAGCTGTTTGTTTACTATTTGTTTTCATATTCATGAAAATTTTTAACACTCCACCATATCTTGAAAAATAAACATACAACTAAATTAAGGCAACCAAAATGAGTTTTAATAGACAAAGTTTTGGGACTTTTCAGTCTTTTTTTTTTATAAGTGTTTTGGAATTGAATGTTGGAGTCCTGTGATGTTTTATTTCTGGAATGCCATGCGCCTCCAAAATCATATGCAGTGTGAAAGTGTTTCTTTTAATGTTTAGAAACTTGTTAGAATTTGTAATTGGATGTTGAATAATATGAAATAAAATTTGTTTAGTCAGAACATCATGTTCTTGGATGGATGGGATCTCACGAATTGCTTTGATTTTTCTAAGGTAGAAAATTAGGAATAATAAAACAAATTTGTTAATTCTCCATTTCTATCACTTGTCTTTGTAGACTGAATCGATTGATGGAGGTGGAGAATTGACATTTTTCTTTCAGGTTATTTATCTACTTCAAAAAGTTATANAATCAAAAGATTTTCTTAAATTTTTGTAATATTAAAAGAAAATAATATATAGATAACTATAAATATACAGGGTGTTTATAATTAAAGTTCCACTTTGAAATGGCCATAAAATGAAAACTACTGGACAGAATGTTATCAAACTTGGTAATAGTGTACAGGACTTCATGGGATTTTATTTCCAGCAAATAAAAAAGTTCAAAAAACTCACCACCAACAGGAAATGGTACTGTCTGCAACATCGTTAAACGAAATAAGACATGAAGACATCATTGAAAATGTTTTTAGTCTGTTTTAAAATGTGTTACAGAGCATGTTCAAACAGATTAAAAACATTTTCAACTATGTCTTCATGTCTTATTTCGTTTAACAATGTTGCAGACAGTATCATTTCCCGTTGGTGGTGAGTTTTTGAACTTTTTTTTTTTGCGGGAAATAAAATCCCATTCTGTACGCTATTATCAAGTTTGATAACATTCTGTCCAGTAGTTTTCATTTTATGGCAATTTCAAAGTGAAACTTTAATTATAAACACCCTGTATAATAAACTTTCCAAAGCTCAATACATTGATACTCAACCAAACGATCACTGTAGTTAATTGGGCTATAAATTTGCTATTATTAATGATTGGATATTAAGTAATTTGGTATCAGAGATATCTAATTGTTAATAATAGAAAATTTATAGTCTGATTAATTATGATGATCATTTGCTTAGGTAACTATTAACCTGTGTGAATTTATAAATCTATATTGGTATAAATCTGGGAACAAAGGTCAGTAAGACTGAGTAATGTAATTGTCAGGGTTAGCTTGATGGATGAGGTGAAAAGATGATTGTCTCAAATGGCAGAGTGAGAAAGGTAGCAAAATGAGCAGTCAAAAAGTTTTCAGGGAAGAAATAAAAATAAGGTAGATACAGTAAATTTACGTTAGTTGTTTGTTTACAGTTTATGCAATATTGCCAGTGCTAGAATAGAATTGTCAATCATTCTGGAATCAAGGATGACAAAACTTGGTTTTGTCTTGGGTACAGCTTACTGTAGAGTTGACACCAGTAATTGGTAACACACATGTAATTAGAGGTCAAAGTCAAATTGCTGAGCAGGTAAGGTATCTACTTACTGCTCTGGGTGATCTGGGAACAAATTTGGACACTGAAAACTCCAGGAATTTTTCAAGGACTTCTGTATCAGATATGGTGAGGAAGAGAGCCTAATACCCCGTTCGCACACAATCCACGACTCACTTCGATCTCGATTTACCCACAATCTGGATTGTGACTGTCGCCAGTGGAACGTTGTGCTGTTCGCACAGGTAACTCGCTTGAGAAGAACCTGGCTATTACACGCGATGATAAAATTGACATAACTACGCGGTAAGTCACGAACACCAACAAACAAAATGGAAGTTTTGGTTAGAAATAAATACTTTTTCTTGCCATATATCTAATAATAGACAGATGTCATCGTCTCTCCAGATGTCTTTTTTATTTTTCTGTCGATAGCCGGACACGTGTTCAGCAGCCATCTTGTATTTTCTCGCGCGCGTGGGATTGTGGGATCTCTCTTATGACTG